GTGGGTGCTGGTTGTGTGGGTGCTGGTTGTGTGGGTGCTGGTTGTGTGGGTGCTGGTTGTGTGGGTGCTGGTTGTGTGGGTGCTGGTTGTGTGGGCGCTGGCTCAGCTGGAGCAGCGGCTTGCTCGACGGAAACGGTGGAATTTTCGAGAGACGTCGGGGGGGTTGGCTCGAGGTCCATGTCCTGAGCCATTGTGCGCGGCCGAGCTGAATTCGTGGCGCGTGGGAATAGAGGTGGGAGAGTGAATGGCTCCGCAAAGCGAACGGACCAGTTGGGGTGAGGAGCCGCGGGATGAGGAGCCGTGGCCTGAGAGTTCACAAGGGCGCCCTGAGGCGCTGGTTGACCGGGTGTTTCCAATCTCTATCTGGAATCAGTCTGGTCGGTTCCCGCTTCGCCTGTGCCTTGCTGGTTGGCTTTGCTCCGCTTCCGATGCTGGTTGACGTTCCAACCTCTAATTTGCGTCGGGCCAGACTTCGGAAGGGCAGCCGATGCTCCCGTCTCTTTATGGTCGTATGGGATGGTCTTCAGCTCCGGCTTGCTTGACCACGTTCGGTGAGCGGGCACCGGGGCGGGCTGTAGTTTGCGATATTTGCCGGTTCCAGCATCGGAGGAGCCCGAGGGCGTGGACCGATGGCGGTGCATCGAGCCGGGGGGCCCCTGGGGTGTCCCGGGAGGGCTCTGTCCCATGGGACCAGGCATTGGTTGGGGTTGGCCAAAGGTCGGCGAAGGCATCTGAGGCGCGTAGCCAGAGCCGGGGCCAGTCGGTCCCATGTATGATTGCTGTGGCTGGGGGGCGGGCAGGATCCTGTCCTGCGCAAGTGGTGGCATAGGGCCCAGGGGCTCAGGAGCCGGGTAACCATGGTGGTAGGGTCGTGGGGGACCAGGGGGATAGTAGTTGTTCATGCCATGAGGAGCCGGCCTCATCATCGGATCACGCAGCATGTCGTCCTGGACAGGCTGAGAACGACCCCGAGGGGGGCGGAGAGGCGGCAGTGGTTGCGGCGGGAGTGATTCAGCAGAGAAGGGCATCCTGGGTGGAGGGGGCTGTGGGTAATGCTGCTGCTGGTGTTGGTGATGGTGGTGGTGGTGCTGCTGCGGCGGCGGCGGTCCCTGTGCCTGCGCCATAGCCGGAGATGGAGGGGGAAGCTGAGCCGGCGGAGGCGGGGCTTGTTGCGACCAGTAGCCATGAGAGTATGGCGTGCCGGGCCCCGGAGCCGGGGGAGCCTGTGCTTGGATCATAGCCGGCGACGGAGCGGGCGCGGGAGCCAGAGCGGGCGGCGGAGGATGAGGAGCCTGCTGAGACCAGTAATGAGCATAACCCGCAGCGGGTACTGGAGTAGGGGCAGCCTGCACTGGCGCCGACGCTGGGGCAAGTATGGTACCTTCAGGGCCATAGTGTGCCATGCGGCCACCTGCGTAGAGGGGGTCGATTGGTCGCATAGGCCCCATGGGCGCGTCTCTGGG